GCGGAAAGCATCCCCAGAAATCTGTGCCATCGCATGCTAGCGCCATCTCTTGGCGGATTATGGCAACGCTCCCATAGAAGCAATGTATTAAATATAGAAATACGGCAATATTTGCTCAACATCACATTTTTTCAGATTTGCCATGCTACCCGTCCAATCTCTGACACGATCCAATCGTTCGGCAAAAAAGTCAAGATTACAGCGCATAAACTGCAGGTTCCTCATTCGAGTAAATTATTTGATGCATAGCCACTATGGGTGGTATCAGGTTTGATCGGTTTTTAAAATATATTATTAGGTGAGTGAAATAAATTTTAATTTTATATTATAAATACAACCCTCCCCCAATCATATGACAAAGTTTCGTGATTTGTATGATATTTTGTAATGAGTAGAAAAAACATCCTTCTGGGGCACCTCTCCCAAACGTGCCACACAAAGTGATTTTCAAACCTCCCAAATTTAAAAATACAGAAAGATACGAGATTTGCCATATAACTGCGACAAGGCAAAAACATCCAGGAAGCGTAGTGTACGCTCTGTCTTCTCTCAAACTTATTTGCTCGGGTTCCTGAGACCAGTTTGTTGAACCAGGCGCATAATCGATCAGCCAGCTGTTCAGAATCGTTTCCTGCATTCTGCTGCTGGGATCACTAAACTACCAAACAAAGAAAGCAACTATTTGTTTTTTCATTTAGAAATTTTATCATGGCTAAGAAAAGGTATAGAAATATTGTTATTAATCATTAAGAAATTATTGACCTTGGCGAAGCTACATTTAGGGCGAATAAAGTGGGAATATTGAGTGATTATTTGGCAAGGAAGCTGACTGTACTTGATGGTCTCTTCATGACACGTCAAGCACATAAATTCAAAATATCAAGTAAAAAACATCTCGGTCGATCCAGCGAGGAGAACATTGGAAAATGAGAACTACGTAACGTCCTCGCTCGAACGCCTTTCCCATCGAGGAGGTTTATTTTCAAGGATATGCAGTTGTACCATGATTGATTTGATGGACTTAAATTTTATCATTTTTCCCAGTTAAAGACCCGAATGTTCTAAACAAGTTCCTTGTGGATGAGCGGAGGCCCAAATTTGAAAAGTTGGACGAAGCCGTCAAAACGGAAAAACCAGGTCCAGTTTGAAGCGATTTTTCTCAAGACTGATTTATTTCCAAGTATTTGCCATGGCACCAGCATGTAGTAGAGGGATGAAAATGATATATTTCGCCCAAAATGGGTGCATGAGCCGTGCTCCAAAAGTTCCCTGTGAAGGCGCGGGTGCTCAAACTTTAAAAATGGGACGAAACCGTCGAAACGGAAAAACCAGGTCCACTTCGGAGCGGTTTTTCTCAAGACAGATTTATTTCCAAGTATTTGCCATGGCACTAGCATGTAGTAGAAAGATGAAAATTTTACATTTCGCCCAGAATGGGTGCATGAGCCGTGCTCCAAAAGTTCCCTGTGAAGGCGCGGGTGCTCAAACTTTAAAAATGGGACGAAACCGTCGAAATGGAAAAACCAGGTCCACTTCGGAGTGGTTTTTCTCAAGACAGATTTATTTCCAAGTATTTGCCATGGCACTAGCATGTAGTAGAGGGATGAAAATGATATATTTCGCCCAAAATGGGTGCATGAGCCGTGCTCCAAAAGTTCCCTGTGAAGACGCGGGTGCTCAAACTTTAAAAATGGGACGAAACCGTCGAAACGGAAAAACCAGGTCCACTTCGGAGCGGTTTTTCTCAAGACAGATTTATTTACAAGTATTTGCCATGGCACTAGCATGTAGTAGAAAGATGAAAATTTTACATTTCGCCCAGAATGGGTGCATGAGCCGTGCTCCAAAAGTTCCCTGTGAAGGCGCGGGTGCTCAAACTTTAAAAATGGGACGAAACCGTCGAAACGGAAAAACCAGGTCCACTTCGGAGCGGTTTTTCTCAAGACAGATTTATTTCCAAGTATTTGCCATGGCACTAGCATGTAGTAGAAAGATGAAAATTTTACATTTCGCCCAGAATGGGTGCATGAGCCGTGCTCCAAAAGTTCCCTGTGAAGGCGCGGGTGCTCAAACTTTAAAAATGGGACGAAACCGTCGAAACGGAAAAACCAGGTCCACTTCGGAGCGGTTTTTCTCAAGACAGATTTATTTCCAAGTATTTGCCATGGCACTAGCATGTAGTAGAGGGATGAAAATGATATATTTCGCCCAAAATGGGTGCATGAGCCGTGCTCCAAAAGTTCCCTGTGAAGGCGCGGGTGCTCAAACTTTAAAAATGGGACGAAACCGTCGAAACGGAAAAACCAGGTCCACTTCGGAGCGGTTTTTCTCAAGACAGATTTATTTCCAAGTATTTGCCATGGCACTAGCATGTAGTAGAGGGATGAAAGTTATATATTTCGCCCAGAATGGGTGCATGAGCCGTGCTCCAAAAGTTCCCTGTGAAGGCGCGGGTGCTCAAACTTTAAAAATGGGACGAAACCGTCGAAACGGAAAAACCAGGTCCACTTCGGAGCGGTTTTTCTCAAGAGAGATTTATTTCCAAGTATTTGCCATGGCACTAGCATGTAGTAGAGGGATGAAAATTATACATTTCGCCCAAAATGGGTGCATGAGCCGTGCTCCAAAAGTTCCCTGTGAAGGCGCGGGTGCTCAAACTTTAACAATGGGACGAAACCGTCAAAACGGAAAAACCAGGTCCACTTCGGAGCGGTTTTTCTCAAGACAGATTTATTTCCAAGAATTTGCCATGGCACTAGCATGTAGTAGAGGGACGAAAATTATATATTTCGCCCAGAATGGGTGCATGAGCCGTGCTCCAAAAGTTCCCTGTGAAGGCGCGGGTGCTCAAACTTTAAAAATGGGACGAAACCGTCAAAACGGAAAAACCAGGTCCACTTCGGAGCGGTTTTGCTCAAGACAGATTTATTTCCAAGTATTTGCCATCGCACTAGCATGTAGTAGAGGGATGAAAATTATATATTTCGCCCAGAATGGGTGTATGAGCCGTGCTCCAAAAGTTCCCAGTGAAGGCGCGGGTGCTCAAACTTTAAAAATGGGACGAAACCGTCGAAACAAAAAAAAACAGGTCCACTTCGGAGCGGTTTTTCTCAAGACAGATTTATTTACAAGTATTTGCCATGGCACTAGCATGTAGTATAGGGATGAAAATTATATATTTCGCCCAGAATTGGTGCATGAGCCGTGCTCCAAAAGTTCCCTGTAAAGGCGCGGGTGTTTAAACTTTAAAAATGGGACGAAACCGTCGAAACGGAAAAACCAGGTCCACTTCGGAGCGGTTTTTCTCAAGACAGATTTATTTCCAAGTATTTGCCATGGCACTAGCATGTAGTAGAGGGATGAAAATTATATATTGCGCCCAGAATGGGCGCATGAGCCGTGCTCCAAAAGTTCCCTGTGGAGGCGCGTGTGCTCAAATTTGAAACGTAGGGCGAAACCGTCAGTACTGAAAAACCAGGTCCACTTTGAAGCGTTTTTTTTTTTTTTTTAAAAATAGAGTTATTTTCAAGTATTTTCCATGATACCAGCATGTAGTAGAGGGATGAAAATTATATATTTCGCGTCGTC